TTTTCCAACGGGAAAAGAAACAATAACATAAAACTCAAACGAAGAGTAGAAACTAGTAACCAACTGGTTAAAAAGGTTACCAATTCCTACAACACAGAGATGGAGAGGTTAACCAACGGGGAAATGAACACTCATTCCCCCTCCAAAGGAAGAGTCGGATACTCGATCAGTATTGGTCGGCAATGTGAGTGTGAGTCTCTTGTCCTTTTCTTATCATCCAGGAATGTTTTTCTTGTCTTTTCACTTCTGTATCTATTTGAAAAGATTTGCGATGACTCTCACATATGGTATGAAATCTTATGGGCTAATGAGATCGAACAAATTTCTTATTTCTCAATTTTCCACATGTGCCTAATACTTATATAGTGCGAGAAACAAATGTTGTTTGGTTCATTGGAACAAATTGGACATATTGTATTATGAATAGCATAATGAATGTATACAATTATATACTTCTTTCTAGTTTCAACTCCTTTTGAACTATTCGTTTTCTCGCACTAAGCACAGGTTTGACTATGCATGCACGGCTGAAGAGGTGCAGCAGCATTTCCAGTCTTGTGGAACCATCAACAGGGTTACAATTATGTCAGATACATTTGGTCAGCCCAAAGGTTTTGCCTACGTGGAGTTTATGGAGGTTGAGGCTGTTCAAAATGCTCTACTGCTGGATGAATCTGATTAAGGTTTGTGATATTGCATTGATAGTCTTAATATGCAGAGTAAATCTTGATTGTCCTTAAATTTGTTTAATTTGGTATTTATGTTAGAAAACAGGTATCTGTTAAGAGGACTAATATTCCTGGCATGAATCTATATCGTGGAATGTATCCAATTCCGTACTATGGCTATGGGTGAGTAGATTACAACTTCGTTTGCTCTGTTCTTTTCTTATATTTTTCTTGATTTATTTCTTTTCTTTTTACTTTTGTATGAGCTTGCGTGTCGCTTTTGCATTGTGGCAATGGTGGATAACCCTTTACGCATTCAATTATACTATATGTTGTGGTTGTTTCTAGCAACTTTTGTCTATTTTACATGTTTTTATGAGCTTTTCAGAGTATACAAGGAATTTATTGTCGTCTCGTTACCCAACTAAACCATGTAGTAACTAAAGTACAGAATACTCGGTTGTTTTCCAAAAAGTACAACTGCCTTTTTCCATATGTTTTAGTATTTCACAAGTTGCACAAAGATTAATTCATATACCAATATCAGAAACCTAAAGGACCAGTCATTTGATAAAGGAATATTTTTTGTAATCAGGTTGAAATTTAGCTGCAAGAATATTTCTGTAAGTAGGTTTAATTTGCGCCGCTCTTTTTGGATTACTCCTATTTGCTGACTAGACGTGTCCATTTGCCGGGCCGGGTCGAAACCCGGCCCGGCCCGCCGGGTCGGCGGTTCACCGTGGGCTGAACCGGGCCCGGCCCGCTTGTAACTAAGGGCCGGTTCACTGAACCGGCCCTTAACCGCCGGGTCGCAAACCCGGCGGGTCGAGTCGGTTCCGGGTCGGGCCCGGCAGGTTTGCGGGGTTATTAATTTTTTTTTTTACTTTTTTTGTTATTTTAATGTATATTAATGTTTATTTGAATAAATAGTTTGTATATACTTCGAAAATATAAGTTTTTGAGTCTGTTTGTCTATATCATTTCAAAATGAAACAAAAATAATGATCGGGCGTCAATTCTTGGAACCAAACGGTTAACGGTGTTGTATTTTATTGAGTATGGCGGAGAAGTACAACTTGAGGTAGTTTAGAAATGCTAAATTGTACGTCAAATGAAGTCGAATAAGTGTAAAGAAAAAAATTATTAATGTAATGGACTTGAGCTTAGTTAACAGTTATTAAGTTCGAATATCGTGTACGATGAAAAATTTTGTTGCCAAAAAATTATACTCGAACTTAATAATGTTAAATAAGGTGCCTACGTAAAGTCCACGTAGTTCTTCTAAATCACATACCTTGGCTGCATACCTTTAATATTCGTATTCGTCTTCGACGTCCCCCCCGGTTCCACTTGTCGACGACGTAAAATCGGATGCATCGTCGTTGTCGTCCTCCTCCTCATTCGAAGTGAGCATAGCAGTTTGCATCCTTCGTTCGGCCTTCTTCCAATCACTCAGTAACATTTGTGCTTGAAGATTATCAGGCGTCATCCTCGACCGTCGTGGATCTAGCATGTAGCCGCCCTCACTGAATGCTTGCTCAACCGCGACTGTAGATGCTGGGACAGCAAAGATCTCCTTGGCCATAATGCATGGAATAGGAAAAATTCCTCCCATTCTTGACCACCAATCTAACACATCGAAATTGAGTGGCAGTTGAGGTGGACGTGCAATCGTAACGGCTAAATTCGACGTAAGGTAGTGATCCAGCTCATAGTATCCAGTCCCCTGCACCCTTTGACCGCCCGAGTTTTTGTAGGGATTTAATGAATCCCAAAACACTTTGAAGTTTCCGAAGTTTGTATTGCCGCTTTGCCCTCCGTACGAAGATGAAGACCCGCTGCCGCTTACGCCGCTGCTACGAACAAATGTGCTGGGAGACTCTCCATGTGCGATCGCTGTTTCCTTGAACATGTCATACAAAGAATTTTTTGCTTGCTCGACGAGCTGCGGTATGTTAGGTTTGTCCCTGTAAGTCGGGACCCCACTCGGCAGTGGCAATTGATACATATAATCATAGTACATATTAAGTTGATTTAACAAACCTTGCTCACGAACTGTAGGATCTAACAGACATGCAATTAAAAATGTATCGGGAATATAGTAATAATATTTTAGCCATTTTTCTAACATATTTTCTACTAGACCAGAATACTTAAAAGGATCTAAGTCATAAATATCTTTAAAACCCCACATTATAGCTATACATTGACTGACCACAAGTTGAGCAGTAGGATAGTAAACACCAGAAAGAATATTAGTAGCGTTTTGAAATGTTTCTAAAAAATTTGTAAGTTGCGAACAGTTTGCCCAATCATTCACCGAAAGTCGAACATCACAATCCCTACGGTTTGTATCATTAAAAAAATCCTGTAAATGCTTGGCATAATCAGCGGTGACATTCAACATTTTAAATGTTGAATTCCACCGGGTAGGCACGTCTGGCTGGAATTTTTTAGGTTTAATTCCAACACTCTTACAAAATCGTCCCCATGCTTTCATTTCTTGGGGACGTTTATTCAAATAATTGACGGCCTCCCTTATTGGCTTTACAGAATCCTTAAAAACATGATAACCAGCTTGAACACACAAATTTAAAACATGACATATACAACGAATATGAAAAAATCTACCCCCACAGATTGGTGTACAAACATCATTTAATTCACGTATAGATGCAGTATTTGCAGTCGCATTATCAAATGAAATTGAAAATACTTTTTTACCAATACTATAATTATCTAAGATTTTTGAAATTAAACGAGCAATATTAGAAGCAGTGTGTCGTTCATGAAATGCAACATAACCGATTAAACGTTTTTGTAAAGTCCAACTATCGTCAACCCAATGACAAGTAATCCCTAAATAAAAATTATTTATCCAATGATCGGACCATATATCAGCACAAATGGATACTCTATGATTTAAAGATTTAAAATTTT